CCAACACACGTCTTTCCCAAGTTTCTCTGTGGATTTGGGCTCCTCTCAGCGAGCGCAGTCCAAAACCATCTTCAAAAAAAAAAAAAAAAAAAAAATTCCTCCGACGTTTTTTGGCTCATCTGTTTTTTTGGCTCATCTGTTCTTTTCCCTTCTGCAAGGAATGAGCCTCGCAGAGCCTTTATCAGACATACAAGTGCTCTGGGCTGTGGCCCGTAGCAAGCCTCGTGCCTGCCCTAAGCGAAGGCAGGCATAAATATCCACGTGAGGCCTGTTCTCGACAATTTTTCCATATGTGGGTACTCAGATAGCTGCAGCACGCCAGTTGGTTACAGAACAACGTGAGCCTCCAGGCTCTTTCCAAAAGCAAAGGGCTGCGCTGTACAGTTGAGCCCAGGGCTCAAGCAGTTGCGTCCCGACACATCACGGACTGATTACGGGCCAATGAGGAAGTAGCATTGTCATCACACATGGGGCGCGAGGCAATGAGAACTGCAAACACTTGGAGGCTAGGTGGCTGCCTGGAGGTGCCTAACTGCACGAGGCCCAGTCCAGTTTCGGAAACTGGGCCTGGACGCAGACACTTGGGGCCCAACTGAAGCTACTGGGCCCACCCACACGCCTGACCAGGACAGCCAGCAGCGACACACTTTCCATAAAGGAAAGTGTGAGCCCCTGGCAGTGGCATTCTGGCCTGCTGAGACATTGCGGCCACACTGCTGCGGTGTCGAGTGGAGTGCTGCTTGGTGCTGGCAGGCCGGGGCGCACGCGGGCGCTGTGAGGTGAGAGGGCGTTGCGGTGGCAGCGGGCGCACAGCGTCCATGGCCGGGCCGAGTGTGCGGACAGCAGGTGATGGCAAAGGTGGTCTTCGGGTAAGGAGGCGCATGAAGTGGGGAGACGAGGGGTGATGACGAGAGGAGAGAGAACGTACCTGGTGTATGCTGGTGGTCAGCATAGGTAATGATGACACGAACTTTGGTCTTTGACTTCAGAGTGATCCAGTTGCAAGAATGTAGATAGGCTAGATCCGCTGAGTAGGATAGGCTGGGCGCTGGGCGCCAGACTATGGGTGCCACATTGGATACAGTGTTGGTGAGACCAGAGAGTGGCTACATTACATTCCAGTCCGTTGTATTGCTCTTATTTGTATGGTATCTTGGTGCATCGAGCTCTCTGCTTGGTTCATGACTATCTGAGCTACTTCGTGATTTTGCAACTTGGTTTTCTATCTATGGCTCTCGCTCATATTCCTTGCTCTTCTTTTTTTTGCAATGGCGCACGATGGACCACCACGGATCAGATATTAAATTGATCAGAAGATTCAGAACTGATACTGCACTTGATATGTTTTTAGCCAAAAGGCTGAGAAACGTACAAAGAGGCGCAATTTTTTTATTTTATTTTTCGTTTTTTCCGAAGCCGGGTATTGGGCCCGGTAGCTCAACTTGTTCGAAGCCGGGTAATGGCCCCCGGTAGCGCAACTTACTATTTTTTTGTTTTGCTCCGGGGCCACTCCGGTAGCCTGGCTAATAAATAAATAAAGGGCACATATCGGCCCTTGTCGTTAACCCTCATTGTGAGCAAGCATTCCGCAATGCGAGAAGTGTTTCAGAAAAGAATTGTAGTTTATTGAGCTCATTGGAACTTCATCCATCCATTGCGGACCATGCCTGATTGGGCGCTGTTGTTGCTCGGCATTGGTTACTCTGTGTGATTCTTTTTGCTTTTTCATTTCTTTTGTGTGTAAAAGATACGATGAACTGCCGCGTTTTTATATAGAAGAATAATAAAAGTTAAGTCAGTTTGTCTTTTCTCATTTACTTTAATATATTCACTTCACTCTCGAGCTCTTGTTGCTTGGCATTGATTGCTGTGTGTGCGTGTTTGTGTGTGTGTGTGTGTTTTCCTTTTTTTTTTTTTGGCATGTGTGCCAGTTTTTTTATCGAATAGGTATTGGAAAAAAGAAAAGAAAAGAAAAAGATGCGATACACTGCTGTGTTTCTATCATAAGAAAAATAGAAGTTTAGTCAGCTAATGACTAAAAGTCTGGTTGTTTTTTTTCGCCTAGTGTTGGAGTTGCAGCTATTTTTCGATATATTGCTTTCTTTCAAGATTTCCATAATTGGGACCTTAAATCCTTTTCATATGATGTGTGTTGCTGGAGTTTTATGTGCAGCTCTTTTATGTGCTAAGCACCAGAATGATGGGTATCAGCATAGCAGCATGCATTGATGTACCAAATTCGCAAATACTAGGAGGGTGATGTGTTCTTTTTTTTCTTAATCTGTTCTTGTGCTTCGTGTGACAAACATATTGCGTTGTGTGATTCTGCCACGTGTCGCCCACACAGAGCTGCTGCAGTTGCTCCTTACACTGTCATGGCCCCAGTCTCCCTCCTGCACCGCTATCGCGACGTGTACGCCATCAGCTCATCGAGAAAACTCTTCCCAGGGCAACAGGTGTCAATGCCCTGCCCAGGTTCACAACGGCGACGATGACGACGGGGAGGAGGAGGAGCGCAAGACGGCTCGTCTGTGCAGCATCCCAAGGAGAATCCTCCGAGGTTGCCTCAGCCGACCAGGATCGTAGTAATGCGGCACCCGTCCTAACTCGGCCAGCAGCAGCAGGAGATCAATCATCCCCCTCCTCTTCGCCACCCATAACCTCAACAAGCGGCGAGTCGAAGGCTCCATCCTCTTCGTTGTCGTCCCCCGCATCATCTGGAAGCAATGCAAACGACAAGAAGCCTACAGTCCAGGATGGCGCCAGCGCGAACAGCGGGAGCGAGAGGCGGGAGCAGGTTGATAAGATTGCCAATGCGCCGAAGGTAGGGGGAGCAGGGCTGGCTGGTGGAGAAAGCGCGTCGGGAAAGTCGACGGCAGCGGCGGTGGGCGCATCCATGTCAAAGATTGGATTCAGTAGCCGTACAAATTCCCGTGTGCTCCAAGCTCTTAAGCAGAGTGACAAGAGCAGTGGTGATCCCAGTGATCCTGCCTCTCCTGGAAGTGGGATTAGTCAGCTCACGTTTGGCCGCCCCGTGGCACCGAAAAACATATTTGATGTGGAGCCTTCGAAAGAGAGAATAGCAGCAGCTTCAGAGAAGAAGAAGCAGCCGTTCAGTGTCTCAAAAGGACAGTTGTTTATTTTGTTCTCTTTCACACTCATCATATCAATTATGGTAGGGACTGCGTACCTAGTATGGAAAGTTGGTGCTATTCATTACAATACCTAGTGTGTTCTGATATGGTAATGGGTTAGTTAATAATATTTGGGACACTCAAGGGAATCGTGTTCCTCCTCCTTTTCTCCCCCACACTTCCTCCTCCCCCCCCCCCCCCCCTGGTCCCCCCCCCCCTCTCCTCCCCCTCTCTTGTATTCTTTGTCTTCTCCTTGGCACTACTGCTTCAATGCACAGTTTGTTTTGCACTTCAGGAGTGCTGCTGCTGCACTCCTCCTTTTTAACTTCTCCTGAATCCTCCCAACTCTCTGCTACAGTCGTCTTCTCCTTTTTTTATGTTTTTTTTTGGGTCATGCAATAGCTTCTTCTGCCCTGCAAAATGGCATTTCTGCGCTACGTGGTCGTCGGCTGCATGGTACGCCTCCACAAAAAAAAAACGCCGGCTGATGAATGTTCTTTTTTACTCAGAGAGCCAGAGCGGAAAAAAGAAAAATAACTCTGGTACAGTGCTGCTGTTAGGCCAAAAGTGTACAGAGAATTTATTTATTGCATAACAATAACACCTATGAATGTCGAATCGCCGCCGTCGCCATTGCCAAGCGCTCTCCCCCTTAGCCATCCGCTAAGGGCGGGCCTGTTTTCCTCCATCGCGCCCCCGCATCGGTGACCCCTCCATCTCGCTCTCGCCTGTCGGCCCCTTAGCCACGCCATCTGTGGTTCGTCGCTCGACCCCGCTGCACTTCGCCCCTCTCTGCAGCGAGCTCGCTGCCCCCTGTCATCGTTCACAGCGTCATCGTGCCGCCGCCTAACCCCCCTCTTCCAACGACTTCGGCCAATTCTGATGCCCGTTTCGCCACCACCACGTTCTCCTCCTAGTTGCCAGATCACTGGCCCCCGTGACGTGCTCTCAGCAGTAAGGAAGGACGAACGTAGGCCCACACAGGCCATACCCGCTACTTCAACCAGCCGACCTCTTGCCAAGCCCATAGATCGCCAGATCACTGGCCCCCGTGACGCGCGCTCAGCGGCAAGAAAGGACGAACCTCTGGCACACACCGGGCAGCGATAGGACTTCCGCTGGTCTTCAACGAGGACGTGTCGACAGCAGGCAGCAACGATCGGAACCCCCATATCGGCTGCTCCGATCAGCCATCTCCATCCTTGCACAGGTGAGAAACACAGCACACCCCGCGCGAAGCCCCCTACTCCTGCCCCTTGCCCCGACCTGCGCTCCGCGTCACCTTTAATCCCCCCCGCCCGGGCCTTCTCCATCCCCCTATACCCAACCCCTTCGCATAAGCCCCGCATCACCCTCCACTCCGCCCTCGTCCCCTCACCCGGACCCCCCCGGACCCCGATCCCGGACCCTGTTCCCCGCTCTCCCTCGCCCAGATACTCGGCCTCACCTGCTGAAGCAGTCATCGTCGGTCGCTCATTTTGCCACCTCCTCCCCATAAACCTCGAAATAAACACAGCCCGCCCCGCAGCTACCATAGCCAGTTAGCACCCCTGCACTCTTAGTGGAGCTCTCAAGACCCGTCCCGGAGCACATCGCCATCTCTACTTAGATATATATTATATACATAAAAAAAAATTAAAAAAAATCAGCCATGTCGGCGCCGTCCTATGCCCAAGCCCTGGCCCCCCACAAAGCGAGCGGCCAGCCACAAACAAACCCCTCTACGACCCTCCAACCCTCTTTTATTCACTGTCGGGCTCTTCCAGGCCTCACACCCCCACCCGGTTAGGTTACAAGGCAACACGAATCACCCCAGCTCCGGCCAGCGTCTTTCCGAGACTTGGTTGTCCCTTGGAATGCCCACCCCAAAGCATCCCCAGATCTCTCTACCAGGCCTCATCCTCCTGCTATCAACAGGTTACAACGCCCCAGCCCGGGCCAGCGTCCGTCTGGAATCGGACAACCACATATCCTATGAACATTACAGCATCAGAAAAGCCTACAGTGAGTTGCTAGGTTGCTAGGAGCCCCTAGAATCTCAGAGCATTCTAAAAACTACTGCGAGCAACGGAGAGCAGCAGACTTGCTTATAAAAGAGTGAAAATCAACTGAGATTATTCGGAGAACAGGACCACATTACCCCAGTGCTATTCACCAAACCATCCTACAACTGCCTCAACCCCTTATCCTAGATGTCGAGCTCTACCAGGCCTCACATCCCCAACTGCTGGGTTACAGGGCAGCGCGACCCGCCCCAACTCCGGCCAGCGTCATCCTAGCAACAATTCACGGTTGGCCACTGGAATGCCTTCCACCCTCAGCAATTCCCCAGATCTCTCTACCAGGCCTCGAACCCCCGCTTCACTCAGGTTACAGGGCCGTGCAACCAAACCCCAGCTCCGACCAGCATCATTCTAGCATCGGCCAGCCGTGAACCCGTGGATATAACGGTATTGGCCCGTTGTCAGACCGTCCGCTAAACACTACCGCAGCCATGGCTTCAGTTGTCTAGCTCCCTTCCCGCACTGGACATGCTTGACCCACACTCCGGCAAGACTCGTCACAATGGAGCCACCATCTCCGTCGCTGCTATGCCCTAATCCCATCCTACCAGCTAGCCCCATCGCCAGCAAGACGCATCGTCTCCCTCCTTCTATTAACTCACCCCTACCTATGTGACCCCAGCATGGAGGGGAGAGTTAGAGAAAAGAACCCCGGTACCCCATCCAAGTGAGTCTCTCCACATACAGTGCGAAAAAAGATACTAGTACACTTATGAATTTAGGATTCAATCAGAGATTTTAAAATTGGGAATAGGTTTCCCTTTTGATGGATAGAGTTTTTTCCCGTTGCAAACTGGAGGCGGGCGATATGGGTATGGGCGGGCAATTTGGGTTTTTGTTGTTTCCGCTTTTGGCTTTTTTGTCTTCTACTGCATCTTCTGAGAAATACAGTATCGAAGCATTCTGCTGTTTACTACGCCCAAGTAACGAAATCTAGAATAGACTGCCCTGCCTCATTGGCAGGGCTTACTAAGAAAAAGAAAAAAAAAGAAAAAAAAAATGTATTCGCTTTCGGGAAAAAGAAGAAAAAAAAACGTACTTGTGACGAACCACTTTTTGAAACTGCGCAATTTTCTGCGCGAAGCTGTTTTGGGGAAATACGACGGGTCGAAGGGGTGAGCGGTGGGCAGACGGGTCGGGCGAGCAATTGGCATGGATGTCCTTGTTTCTTTTTCGTTTTTTTCTGCTAAGAATGTCGGATCGATGTCGGGAAGATCCTGTGCCAATGGTTGGAGAACCGCGCCTTAGCGAGCGCGAAGAATAACTGTACCATAGCTTTTTCTTTCTTGTTTTGTTGTGGACACTCGGGATTTTCGCGAGATCATTGCGCGAGAATATCGTTTTTGAATTTTCAAGCGGTGTCGTGCCCCCACGGGCTCTCGGAATTGTTTTTCTTCGGAATTTTTCCTTTGCAATTAGGACTTAAGATATGAATTTAGGCACCTTCTCGATTTTGCTGCGCGGTGCTCCCTGCTTATGCACGCCTTGCCGCGACAAGATCTGGGTTCTGATTTCTTTTTGCGCCTTAATATTGCACGCAACTATAAAAATTTTGGCGGGTGTAATTGCAGTTATAATCTTCTCGTTCTTGATGACCTTCGTGTTCTTCCCTCTTCCCGCCTTGTGCTCGCCCGCGCATGCACGCCTTCTTCCCTAATCTGATTGGTTCCTATGCCTGCATGATCGGATTGATGCTCGGAGAGTGGCTCAGTCCCCCGCGCCGCGGCCCAGACATGCAGACGTAGGCACTTCCTCTCTTCTCCTTCTCATCACTTGGGGCTAATCCCGTATCCCTCGAGCAAGAGTGCACACTATAAATTTCACTTGGGGCTAATCCCGTATCCCTCGAGCAAGAGTGCACACTATAAATTTCACAAGCACGATTAGTTGTCTCTCTAAGAATTTCGAGGTTAGCGCGATCAGTGAGGGTCGGCTAACGAGCAAGTTTGGAAGGTAAGTGAGTGTGAGAGTTGGGCGATCCGACGAGTTGGTGTCGGGTATTTGGGGTTGACGTGCGGGGCCGCGACGGATTGTGGCGCACGGGCGAACCTGGCTTGCATGCTTGAACCAAGTGGGATGACAACTCTGCGTTGATACGTGACGACGGACTGTCGGTATCGGGAACACAGAGAGAGAGAGAGAGAGAGAGAGAGAGAGAGAGAGAGAGAGAGAGAGAGAGAGAGAGAGAGAGAGAGAGAGAGAGAGAGAGAGAGAGAGAGAGAGGTTGTGTGGGTACGGGATAAAGTTTTTTTTTGTTATTTCCTTCTTCCCCTGTTCATCTATACAATTTTGGATCCTGGTATGGCCGATTTTGTTATCAAGACCCTCCTCTTTTAAACTTCGCTTGTACATTGTCTCGGATTTTCCTGTGATTTTATTCGATATGCATGCATGAAATGAATGTAAATTATTTTTTATTAGTGATCGTTTCGGATTTCTAGCTCTGTTTTCCGATGTTTGTTTCGTCTCTAACCAATGTTCACTTGCGGGACCTATACGCTCAGAGCTGATTGAAAATGATCGTCTTGATGTCTGGGGGTCTCGTCGTTAACACTCGGAAGTGTTATGATGAGTTGATCGCCCTTCAGCGTCACATGTATGGCATGTAGTGATTGGTAGGATAGTTGCACTTGTGTTGAACGTAACTGGAATCAATCGGTTGTTCCTTACGAGTACATGCTCGCACGATCGCGATCTCGAGAAAGCCGAGTCGCCACGTACGCGCTCGTCCGCGTGAATCAGCCTTAACCCCGTGTAAGGATGCGGGGGAATCGGCTTACTAGACGAACATGGCTGCGAGATCTCCCTCCTGGACATCCGATTACGAAAACCTGAGGGACCCGGAATATCGCGAGTATTGGGACGACGAACAACTTAGACTACGGGGAAACTTAAGATATCTAAAATTTCCCAATCTGACGGAGCACTTTCCACTGGGCTATAACCAGCGATCCTAAAGGCCCAGACTACCCCGGTACGGACAATACTCAATACTACATATCCCCGGGTTTCGTCGTTATCACCACCAACTTCCCTCCCTTCCATCTCCTCCTCCCCTATCACCAACTCACAGTGGTTCCGTT